TGGAGATTACATTCCCATCTCAGGCAAAAACAAAACAAATGCGGAAGAAATAAAGATAGGATCACTTCAACATTTCACAAACAAAAATAGGTTGACAACCAAATACCACCAAAAACACAACATGGCAAGCATATTGTTCCTTTAATCCCACTCTTCGTTAGAGCTCATTATTTCCCATTTCATGGCGTGTTGAGCCAATCATCTTTTCCAAAATAAATTCTACTCTTCAAACACCTTAAATTAGGATTACTCCTTGATTGACTTTTAAAAATATGTATTTTAGCCAGAAGAATAGTTGTATTATTAACTGTGTGCGGTCTTCATCTAAAAGCCCAAATAAAATATGAAAGGGTGTAAATGTAAATTCAATGTTTGCCGCCAAATAATTTGCAAAACATTCTGATTTGTGTGGAAACATTTTCATTATTAAGATTTATTTTAATCTTAACCTCTTTTCCTTTCTCTTTCTCGATCCTCCTTAGCAACGGTCATTACAGTCCTTAGCAACGGTCTGTTCTACTGGGTTTACAACGTGTCACATGTTCTGAATTGACCAATCAGACCTTTATTTAGCCTCCGTATTGTTTATGGTTGAACGTGGGCCGCAAAATAGTTTTTGATTCTTAAGTGGGCCCTGAGTTGAAAACGGTTGGGAACCGCTGCTATATAACAACCTAACATTACTTACACAGAAAAAACATCTTCATTTTCCAAACCGTGAAGTAACTCCCTCCACGTCCCAGCTCTAAGAACATGATAACACTTGTTCACCTGGACTAAAGCACAAGGTACTTCTAAAGATAGCCGCTCCTGTGATGTTAGAGGTCATCCAAGTACCGTGGAACGGAGCTATGAGAGCTGCGTATTGATTATGTGGTCAGTGTGCTCTCAGCAGATGTCCAGCAGCTGCTCACAAACACTCTGCCACTGTAATGGAGTCCAGAAGACACCCTGTGCATTTGTAATGAGCCTCGCTGGACCTTACAGTCTTTAGTTACATAATGAGGGACTTTAGTGAGATAGCATAGCAGTGTTGCCGTCACTGGAAGACCTTTTAGTGGTACTTATGCCAAGGCTGTGCGTGAAGCTCATAATACAAACGTGTGGCCTATACATAAGGGTAAGTGAAATATATTTAAACATTTCCAATATCTGACAATATGTCTTCTTCTGGAAATTGCTCTTGAGTTGCAATTTGAGGATGTATGTAATAATTTTCTATATATATTTTTTTTTTTATTCTTTATTTGGAGTCACATATTATTCACATTACAGTAAACCTGTTACCATCAGTGCAATCTATACAGTGATCCATCACCAAGAAAACAAAACAACCGAATAAAAAGTAGTTTATTTAATCGCCACAAACACAGTTTTCTTATTTATATCTAGCTGTGTCTGTACTTCATGTAATTCCTAACCCAGCGATGTAACTAAGTATGTGAAGTATTGTACTTTTACCAAAGTAATTTCTTTACTGACACTTCAAATACAACTATAAGGTACATTTTCAAATTTGTATATTCTAAGAGCTTTGTTATTAAATAAACTAGCCATCGGTTGCTTAAAATATATTAGGTAATATAAAAGTATCTAGGTAAAATATATGTTTTCTTTACAGTAAACTAATAGGAAAGTGTTAATGGCAGCTTTCTACCACATGAGTGAAGTTTGATTTCAGATAGGAGGAAAGTGTGGTTTTGTGGCCACCACTGAAGTGCGATACTACCAACTGGCTTTCCAACGGCCGATTGACTACCAGGACTTCCCCTTTGTCAAACCATAGACACTAAATCACATGTTCACTCAGCATTAGGCAGGAAGACAACACTGAGCGCGGCATGCAGGAGAAGTATTGAGCAGGGACGATGGCAATAATCCGGTTGAGGAGAAGCTTTTTACGGGCCATCTTACTTCATGAAGAAGATGATGTGTTTACTAGTTGCTCACCACCAGAGGTAATATCTCTACTTGTTTAATCATTGAGATTATCTTTAAAGCTGCGGCTTGCTTCACAGTGTACAGATTTGCACAATAGTGTTGCAGAGTGTTTCTGGTAAAAGCAGTCCGTTTGCTAAATGGCTTGACGGTTAAATTTGCAAAGAAAGTTTCCCGGTTTTGTCGCTGACTTTCTTTCAAATGTCGTCGTCTTGTGTCTTTTCAAGTTTAATTAAGACACTGGTGAAGTATGTCGTATATTCCTTCTTTGCATATTCGTTGGGCTGCACAATTTTTTTAAATGTTTTCAAACTGCAAATAAGGACTCTGAATTAAATTGCGGAGCTGCAGAGAAACTGGGTTTTCTTAATTAAAGCTCCTTGTTTGGCACAGAACCTCCTTAAAAAAACGACACCAATATAATTTTATTTATTTATAAAGATGATGAAAAAAACGTAATAATGATCATATTGTAATTGCAACACCGGTCAAAATGATCGTGTTTTGTTTTGTTCAAATCGTGCAGCTGTAGATTTGATGGGAATAATCGGAAAATGTGCTTATTTTGCATAAAGACACATTTAAAATACTGGTATATCAGTTCATTCCCTATTTCCCCTCCCTCTAGTACAACATATCACATCATGATCATTCTAATATGTTAATCAATTATATGATAAAATGACCATCCCTCTTATATCGGAATTATGTCATAATAATTGCAATTCTTGCCGAATAATGCAGCCCCTTATTTCCACACGTTCCACCTTTATTCAGCGGTTGTTGTGATGCTGTTTCTATCAGCAAACGTCTTCATGGAGTGGCTGAATATAGGATTCTCCGGTGCACCTCCAGCTGTTTGCTCGCCTCCTGCATATTTCATCCCTATTGATCCCCGGGTAATAAAAACATCACAGAGCCGGTGTTAGGAGCCTCGGGGCGCTGGCATTATTTATGGCTCTGGGCCCTGCCGCTGCGCAGAGAGGCAGCATGAAATAATCATGACGAGCAGCGGCCCGTCGACTGCATCCGTCTCGCCGCGTCAGGGTTTCTGAAGAAGGATGCTCCGTCATTACAGGCGGCTGGATTTACTACGGCTGCTGCTCCACTGGATGCAGGAACCTTTAAATCAATAGTATTTCAATTCATACCCACAATGCACCATCCGTCAGCGGCCAACGCTACAGCGTTTTCTCCTATTTTACGGCAGTGGCTCAGTCAGTAGGGGCTTGGACTGGGAGCCGTAGGGTCGCCGGTTCAAGTCCCAGACCAGACCTAAAATATGGAGTGTGGACTTCTACTTGGAGAGGTCCCAGTTCACCTCCTGCCCTGCCGTGGTGCCCTTGAGCAAGGCACCGGACATCCCCCTTCCTCCCCCCACTCTCATTGCTCCCCGGGCGCTGTACAATAGCTGCCCACTGCTCCTAGTACTAGACTCCTGGTACTAGGAAGGGTTAAAAGCAGAGAACACATTTCGCTGTGTGCTCTGCATGTGAGACCATTACAGAGGGTTTCATCCCTCCCCAATTCTATTCTATACGAACATTGGGTTTGTTGTTCGACTTATTTCAGATCCTGTTTTGAATGAACATGTGAGCCTAGATTACATCTGAAAACACCAGGATTCAAAGAGCAATGGGAGCAAGATTTTTCTTCTAATTTTGACATATAATTCATTTTTTCTAAAAGGTAATGATGGACAAGGAGTTATTGTTTGCTGTCAATTTATATTGAAGCCTTTCACTTTTATTAAAATAGTTAACGCCGTTCATTAGTGTCTTCAATCAATTGACAGAAAGTTGGTTTGATTGGCAACTATTTAGAAAATTGATTCGTTTTCAAGCAAAAAAGCCAAACCATTTGACGCTACTGGCTTTTCAAATGGGATATAACTTTGTTTTTTCTAGTCTTATCATAATTAACAGAATATATTGTGTTTTTTTACCATTGACCAATAAAGTGTGAAGATGTATTTATAGGCTTTAGACAATGGTGACTCTGTACTGGCCAAATCATTCAGTCAAAGAAGTATTCGGCACTGATTAATAATCAGTGAACATAATCATCACCTGCAGATTTACCTTTCTTCGGTATCAAGAAAACTGTAGGGATTATTTTCTTGCAGTGGACATGAACTCTGGGTCTTCATGTATGAATTCTCTTTTGGGTTAAACACATTCTTTGCACAGTTAATGTTCATAATTGTAGATTTGCAAAGTATGTCCACAGTCCTACTAAATCCTCTTGATATTCAGTTTCACTTCCTTTGTTCTACCTGACTTTGTGCCACTCTCAGTTATACAAAAACACTTCCTTCCCTCTCCTCGGCCGCATCCCCTTCATTCAAGGCTCTGCTCATCGGTGGTCGACAGTGCTTATGTCAGCTTTAAATACATATTGTTTTCTGGCATTCAACCCATTTCCTTTTAGGACTCAACGCCACTCAATACTGCAAATAATAGGAGATTGATTGAAGTGTGTGATGCCTGGTTTTTAAGGTGTCACTACCAATGTGCAATGAATACTTTTTGTTTTGCAACAATTAACTTCTGATACTCCACTACCTAAGACTGTTCACTGTTTTGAAGACTTTGTACACTTTAGTAATGTTAATACTGGCTGCTACTCCATTACATTTATGATCACTTTCTTTTTTACTGCTGTTACTTTCGATGCATATTGTATACATGTGTGCTTGCCTCTTTATTTAATATGTTATTCTACTCACTTACGTTTGCTTTCTATCTGCACTGCCCTTGTGCTGTATCAATGTAAACGTCCCCGCTGTGGTTGGAAAAAGTATTTCTCTCTCTCTGATGTGCAGCTGTTGAACCACACTCTGAACGCTGTGCATCTCGCTCTCTGTCGAGGAACTTTCCCCTGATGATATAACAGACTGAAATCCACTCACAGCTCCACTTCCTTGTCTCTCTTCAGACGGTTTCCTCGTCAGGCCACGGCCGCTCCGAGTCTCCGGTCTACACCAACCTGCAGGAGCTGAAGATCAGCCAGAGCA